GCATATGCTTGTTCTGTTCTTGCTCTTCTGTGTCCAGTTATGGCTGTTGCTGGAGACAGCACCAGGATTGTTGGTCTCAACCAGTATTGTGGCCCTTGTGTTCTCGACATCTTTTTCATGTTAGATTTAATGGTATATGGGAGAAATGGACCACAAAATCTATTGAAGAGTTCCTTTAAGACTTACTTAGGCTTACAGTGTGATAGAAATCTTAAAAGTGTAATCCAGAATTCAGAAAGTAGCACAGATGTATTTCCCAGACTGTTACTGATATAATTTGCCTGTGATGTACTTTTTGTGTTCATGGTGCTTCATTTCTACCTTTTTTCTTGCAACCTTTTGCTCATGAGTCTCCTTGGTTATACTGGTCCAATGCCCAGTAAGATTCCTATGTAGGCAGATGAGACCTCATGTTTCATTACCAGAAACTTAACTTCTCTGTGAAATTAAAAATATTAGGGAAATACCATTGTTTTAATCTTTAAAATAAAGTTAAAAGTGATTACCTAGATAGAAAAAAAACCCAAAAAACAAACAAAAAAAAAATCCCCAAAAACAACTTGATATTTAATTTCTATTATTTTCTTCTAAAGAATGAGACTGCTTTATTGCTAGGCCTAGACTTGACAGTAAGTGCCATGGGTTTTAAACATGCCTGTCTAGGACACCAGAGTGCTTGTTCTATGTTATATAAAGGAAAACTTACCAATAAAATGGAAAACTTTCAGCCCCCTCTCCCACAGGTTTACTTCAGCCACAAGTCCTGACACTCCGTGCATTTCTGCTTGATGGTGGTGGAAAAAAAGATTTGTTGAGGTGAACATGGATGTTTATTGGGGTGCAGAAATAGTGACCTACCTCTTGTGGTGTTTTTCAGTGTGTTACCTACATGCTGCATGCCCACAGAACTGTCTGGGGGTTTGCACACCCCCAGAGTCTGTGTCTGGTCAGTGTCAGCACTGCAGTTGGTGTGGGATGCCTCCAGCAGATGTGCACGGTAGGTCCCACACATCTGGGCACCTCTCTGTTTTGCTGGAGTCCCTGAGGCTCACTGGAAGGCAGGATGCTGTATTGCATCTGCAGGTGTTCCAGGCTGAATCAGAGGTGGTCTTCAGTCACAGCCCTGGAGTTAATTGTTTATAAATCTGCTGAAAGGTCCCTACTAAATTTCATTTTTAAAAATACCTTTCCCTCTTTCATTTAATTTTATTCTCTTCCTCGGTTTTTTTTTTTTTTTTCTCTTTCTTTTTGGTTTTCAGCTGTTACACTTGGCAAGTTTCTTTCCCAGCATTTGGAAATAATTGTTTTCTAAATGCTACCCAGGTTATCTGCCAAATTTAACACCTTAAAAGGAAGCGGGGGTGGGGTACAAGAGACCTACCTGGGATTGGAGTGAATGTAGTGAGTCTTTGGAAAGTGCTAAAAAGGAAATTTACCAAATACAGCACCTAAAATCAAAACCATTGAGTTCCCTCCCATTAACTGTAAAATACCACATGCTATCATCTACAGGGTAAAATAAGCCATTTCACCCAGCCTCATAACCTCTGTTTTTATTTTCTCTACCAAAAGGTAAAGCACGTGTGACTTTTTGGGTTCTTTTACTCCTAACCAATGCGTATAGCTTGGGGGGATACAATTTTTTCAAAGTGGTAGTAGAAAAATCCCTTCAGTTCCTGAGAAAGCATAAGAAAATAAGAGCAAAGTGGAAACCACTGATGGCACTAAAAATGACTTTATCTTGGGGACTTTGCAATGGCATAATCAGCCTGGAGGTTTTAAGACAGGATTGATTTTGCTGGTAGCACGGGAACAGGATAAAAAGTTTAATTCCTTCTCCTTGGTGATGGAAGGGCTAAGGTAGCCCAAGGTATTGTTGTGTTAGTGCTGTTTCTGATCACTGTGAGTGTCCTTAGGGGCTCAGTGCAGCTGAAGGTGTTTTACAGCAGCCCTGGGACAGCTCCAAGATGTGCATTAGTGGCAGTGGAGGTCTTGCATGGGAAGTGCAGAGCTTTTATGAAGGACAGCTCGGCAAGCATAAGGAATCAGGTTCCTTGTAGGTTCCTTGTAGGTGTCTAGGTGCCAGGGGTCAGCCATGGCCAGCTACTGTTTGGTCAGCCTTGCATTGGGCACTCTCTCTGCACGTGGTCAGCCTCCAGTGGCGCCTTCCAGCGCCAAGGGATCATTCCTCAGCAACTGTGTTTAACATCTGCTTCCCGGGTGACCTGCCGCTGGCTTTTGCCTGGTTTTCAGGTGGATGGGGACAGGGGGACAGCAGTTCCATCCACGACAAGGAGCTTGTTAAAGCTCCTGCCACCTCTGCAGGGTGGCTGGGAGGGGCTGGCAGCCACCCTGTGCCTGGCGGCAACGGCGCGTGTTGAGGTCCATGTGTGTGGCGGAAATTGCACGGAGTTGGCTAACGTTTCAGAAAGGAGGGAATAAAAAGCCCCCATAAATCACCTTCTGTGCTTCTCTGTGGGTTGTTTTTTTTTTGTTATTATTATTCCCTTTTAAATGGTAGTAGCTGTTTGGAAAGAAGACTGCTGGTCATCATGCCTGGTACAATAGTACTTCTTTAGCTGGTGGGACTCTTAATACTGTTGTGTATTTAACAGTAATAATATTTTACCAAGCAAATGACTTCCGAAAAAAGTAGAGAAAAATAAAAGGGGATACGTGCTTTCAGGACTTCCCTTCAATTTCGATCTTGTCTTTTTCAATAAATTGAGTTTTTGTCCTACTCATATTCGATGGCACAGTTTGCATATAACAGCTTCTCCGTAATAGATACTCTGTGTAATTTGGATATATTTTTTTGATACATTAACAACTCAAGGGAATTTAATTAGCTTTTGCAAAGCTTTACTAAAAGTTAAAAATAAACTAAGATGACAATTAGAATCAGGATAACTAAGTTGCTCTTGTTTAAAAGTTGAATTTTTCAAAATTAAAATTACTTAATTATATTGTGGATCAGCTGTTCTGTATTAACATCTAAGCCCTCATGTTACTGTGGCTAGATTCTGCTGCCAGAGGTCTCTGGTGTCTTCTGAGCAAGACAAGTCTTTGCCCCTAGCAGTGTGGGTGGGTATATATATATATATATATATATGAGCTTTTTGTAAACCTCTTTTGCAATGGCATGAAGGGCAGCTTATGTCAGAGCAGAAAATACAAGAGTAGGCTCTTTTAACACTGGTGTGTTATAGGAATCTTTCCCAGAGAGAGAAGATATTTGCCACAGCAGCTCCTGCAAGTTAGGTCACCTAATTACAGCTGAACTATATTATACACTAAAACATGTATGCTTTTTCCTTCTGGGCTTCAATAGAAAATTACCAGTCTTGGTAAAGTTTCCTTTCCATTAGTAAAGAGAGCACTGCTGATCTGAAAATCCATCAGGTCATCCATACCAGCATTACATCAATTGACTTTTGAATATTTTTCCATTAGAAAAGGCTCCATTTTATTCCCTTGCTGAAGTGGCAGACTTTCAGTTAGTGTGGTTTTTCCATTCATTGAATTTTGCAATAAAAGAGTTTTTGAAACAGATGTCAGTCATTGCTTAGGAGTGGGGCATTGTTAGAGGGCTGTTCTCTCCTTTTTTTAAGCTAGAAAAAATTCTTGTCCTTCCCCACCCAAACTTTAATTGTTACTTTTTAAAGCCATAAATAATTTTCTAACCTATAATCTGGTGTCAGAACAAATATAAACACCAAACCCTGATTTCAGAGAAATATTGCAGATTGGCCATTGTTCTCAGCAAGAGCAGGACTGGATTTGATCTCTCAATTGTAAACCAGAAAGAAGGGAGTGGATGCATTGCAGAAGCATGGTTCATATTAGCATCTTCCTTAGGGTGTGGAGTGGACCTGTTAACACTTTCTTAATGCTTAGATTTTATAGAAGTAGCCAAATGTGTGCAATGAGTAGTGTTCAAAAAACTGGGTTTGAAGGGATTTTTTTACTTTCTTGCTAGAGTCTTATCCAAGTAGAAAGATATGATTTTGGGTCCTGATCCTAAATTATATGTGTTTCATATGCAGAGTGGTTTTAGGACAAACTGAATATCTTCAGACCATATCTTCAACAGTCACAGAAGAGAAAAGTGCTATTCACATTTGTGTGTATATAACGTGTGTGTATGTGTATGTGCGTATACTTTAAAAAATCTGATTTTCATTTTTATTCTTTATTGATAGCATTTTCCCCATGTATTTAGAAAAAAGTGCCAGTTTTTCTAATGAGGATTGTAGCCATGTTTGTTTAAATTATGGCAATGAATTATTCTAAATTTTAAGAGGTTTACATATTTTTATTCTAAAGAAGGAGGGAAATCATATTTTGGGTTGATATCTGTTTGGGAGGGTAAGCCTTTATTGCTTCATGTCAGTACTTTACTGTTACTTTAAACATCAAAGAACATCCTTTCTGAAGGTGGGAGAACACAAAGTATCCCATATTTATAATTTATGGGGCCTAGGACTGTGACCAAATGTAAACTTGAAGAGATTTAGTATAAAAATATCCTTAGCTTGAGGGCAACGTTTGAAAACTTTGTGGATTTTCTTTTTGATCCTGGCTAAGTCTACAATCATATTGCTTTGTTATTATTTCCTCTTAGCATTAAAGTACGATTGACATTGATAGATATCAGGGGAAGGCTGAGCTTCCTAAAGGGAAAAAAAAAAAGAAAGAAAAAGAAGAAGAGATGTGTTGTTGGCACAGAAATAGGGACGGTAGAAGAGTTCCTGGCTGCCTTTTATTCTTCTGCAGACAGTGAGCACAACGGGGCTCTCGCTGCCTGCTTTTGGCTTGCATGGATTTGCAATAAACAGCTCAGCTATGTATTTATTTTCAAGACTGATTCAATTCTTCAAAGACAACTGCTCCCAACTTGTGAATACTTGTTAGTTGCTGGAAAGTTGCAGAAGTGAAGATCAGCTCCTAGTTTCATGCCAACAAATTAATCCGACGATGTGGTGCTGTCTTTTCCACAGGTGTGTGTGCAGTAGGACTGTCTGAACCTCCCTGTAACTAATAGTCCGTATATAATTTGGAAGGAGAAATCTTCAATGGAAGACCCCGAGGGAATAAATGGGAAGTCTGTAAGTAAACAACTTGTCAGTCCTGAGAAAAAAAAAGTTGCGGCTTTTAAACTGGCAATTATTTTTGTGGCAACCAAGTGAATGAAAGTCTTAGAGAGTGACATTCACTTTTAGTCATTGGAAGAGTCAGGGAATGATGAAATTAACTGAGAGATGGAGGCTTATGCTAAAGCTACAGAAAATTAAGTATAGGTTTACAAATATTTGTCTTCAGTGATTCATATTACAAAATAATGGTTGTTGTTTCTCTAAGAAATATTTGGCCTGCTGTGTTTATGTTGTTAACATTTTTATCTGTTAGAGAGTTTTCATCCCATTTTTTGAAGTTGTTTCTCTTTGCCTCTGTGAATTATGCAAATCCTGCTTCTGGGAGAAGTGAGTGCAACTCCTAGCAGCAGTCTTAAGAACAGAGGCAAAAAAAAATGTAGTAGGATTGTTGTTTGTTGCAAATGCCTGTTTGTAGAGTCATAATAATAAGAAATTTTGCAAACTATCGGTCGTGATTAAGAATGTTTCATGCAAGGTCAAATGATTAGTTGTGTATTTTGGATTTGTTAGCTTAATTAGTGACATTATTGGCACTCAGTGAAATTCAAAATGTTGCATATATGTTTTTATTTGTAATTGTTTAACAGAATCTGTGCAATTACTGAACTACAGAAATATTGAGATTACCTTATTTTTACCATTTGGAAAATAAGTCCAAAAGCTATTTAGTAAATTTAATTAGATTTGTTGCCTGCATTTTTTCTGATGTGTTTATTTTCTACATTTGACAGTACTCTATTCCCTCTCACTCTCCCTTTTGTATTTTATGTTTCTATATCCAGTTTCCCTGATGCTTCCATTTCATGCAGCAACAGGGTAGAAAAAACCGAGCGCCTTAATAATAAGCCTTTTGTGTTGCGTGTTTTTGTTGCACTTCATGTGTAGTGTAATTTTTGCTGTCTGAAGCAATATGGCTTTGGTTATTTTCCAATGTTCATTTGTTCCAGTCTTGTCTCTATGTGTATTTGGGTATTTATCCATCGCTGCTGCCGCCATGTGTGGACAGGACCAGTTAACTCTCAGGGAAAGGGTGGCCATGGTTACCAGCAGCCACTAAACAGGGATGGCCCTGTTTGCAGTCGCAGTGCCAGAGCTTTCAGCACCACCCAAGCTCCTCGTTCTGTTTGGAGTCAGCCTTTCCTCCATGCATGAAAAGCCTTTCACTGATGCTGTCAGGGTTTTCTGTGGCTTACACTGTGATACTTCCCCTCTGTGTGCCTGGGGTAGCCTGGGCTTCGTGTGCTGTGGAGGGTTTTGGGCTGGGTAATTGTGTGCTGAGCTGTATGTAATGACAAATGTAACTGTCGCTTAGCATAACGGGAGTATTAAGGGAAATATTTGTTCATGCTTTGGCACCATCAGCACTCCTGTTGGGGTTATTCATTCCATTCCTTCTTTTCACCACTTAGTCCAGAGGGCCTGTAAAACACTTCATCTGCTCAGAGTTTCCCTTCACATTACCCAAGTGGGTGGTAGTTGTTGATGCTATCAGGATTATCAAAATCTAAACCAGTAACTGCTGAATAGACCCACTGCACTGACCAGCACTCAGGCTTCTGAAAATGAGGACTGAAGCACCCAAAGGTACATGACACAGGGTAGGGTGTGACTCTTCTGATTGCAGTGTCATTGAAGAGGTTTAAAATGGGGTTGTTAAACCCTGGAATCAGACCCTTCAGTTAGGTCTCACATTTATAATTTGACAGTCTGCTGCATTTGCAACAGCCAGTTGACCAACAGAGATTTCCTAAAAGCAGTACTCAGGAGGCAAAAGAGTCTCAGTGAAAAGAATGATGATGGTATGAACATTTTGTTTATTTTGTTCTATGTGTGTGCATAGAAAGAAAGACAGAGTGAGGGATAGATTAGCACTCTGTAATTAGAAACCAGAACCCAAAATCTTGGGATTTAAGATCCCAAACACATGTAGTGGCTTTGAAAACCTGGTGCTAGTCCATAGGAAAAGAAGAAATCTTCCCTACACATACCAGTTGAAAGGTAATTTAATTTTGCAACTAGACAATGCAAGCTATGTAGTGGAAGCAATTTCAGGTACATGTGCATAAGGGAGGAGCTTTATTTGACAACTGAGAAATGGAGCTGGATAATGTTTTAGGAAGACACAGCTAGATGGACAACAGAGAAAGTACCAGGAGAAGGAGAAGGTAAAGGGAAATGAAAGAAAAGTTATCAGACGACAGTATGAGAGTGTAGATGAGGAAGTACTTTGCCTTTGGCCATGATTTCTCTCTTGAGGAAGAGGATGATGTTGCACATGGGAATACAGCCTGTCAGTGTTGATGTATACAGAAGATACCGTAATAAGCCCAGTAACCTCACTTCTGCGCTTGTTACACCCACACAGCTGAGAGAGTATTTTAGCTATTTCCTAATCAAGAAATGGTTCTAATTGTACTGTCATGTGCTTGGCTCACATTCTGTAGGAAATGAATTTCAAACCAGCTTGCAAACCTGGACATTACATCTGCCCCTGCCTTTCCCCTACGACGTGCTTGAGAAAGAAGTACAGCACAAACCTGAGGCTGGCTGGACAGAGGATATCAGGATGTTATCCTGTCTGAAAATTTCACTGAACTTCTGTTGCTTTCTTTACGAGTCCAAAAAAGACTTCGAAGCCTGTTTGCTAATGATACATGCTCCTATCAAAGATGGTTTCACTCATGTTTTACCAAGCTAAAACAAATGGTTGGGTTTTTTTAATTTGTATTTTCTTCATCATCCTGAGGGGGTTTTTCTGCCTGCCGGTCATTTGCAACAAGTCCCACTGCTCAAATATACTTGAGAAATAAAAAAAATAACCTCGTTTTAATTATTTTAGAGAGGAAAATGTCATTTTGGGTGTTAGAGAAACTCTGATTGTAAGGAGACTGGACTGAGTAACAGTACATCTTATACCAAATTGATTTCAAAATATTTATGCAAAATTATCATGGCTTATATTTGTGGTAGGCTAAGTCTACCAGTTCCAAACTTGGCATTGGTATGAATCTATTGCCCTAGAAACCCTGTAGAAGCCCTAAAAACGTGACAAACACTGATAAGAGTCAGCATGATAACCCAGGTGATTAGAGGTACCCTGATGATGACTTCTAAAAAACAACTCAAAAAGGGAAGTGTAGAGGTCAGCAGGTATTTTATTTCATTTGATTTGCCTGTGATTTTTTTTTTTTTTTAAACGTGTGGGGTTTATTTATTTGCAAAACTAAGCACAAGAAAATTTTCACAAGTAAATATTGGCATGTTTTCAGCAATTACTATACTCTCTGGGGATAATTTGGAGGGCTTTTCTTCCATAACTCTCTCTCTGGTAGCGATATTATGTTATTATACAGCATAAAATAATTTTCATTCCTACCCTGTCCAGGCTCATAATTGAAAATTCTCATAGCAAAATTTCACACCAAGAAGTATTTTCAGCTTTGAGTATTTTTGATGATGGAGTTTGCCCATCTGGAAAACAGAGCGAAGACTCTGAGGCCCTTGGCAGTCAAGGTAGCTCCAAATAGTGTGTACCCAATGAGCCAAAAAAGGAGGTGCTCTTGATCCACTCCAGCAGTTAATCTTCTCTGATTCCTCCTACAGCCCCCAAACCTCAGCTCTCAGTCAGCACTCTGGGCAGCCTGGCTGCATATTTCCAGTTTCTTTCTCCTCCCTGCTGCTCACTGGACACTTCTCTCCTGCGAGCCCCACGCCACGTACCAGAGAGCGGCACTTTGCACCAAAAATTCACCTCCTGCCTCCGCTAGTGGAAAGACACAGAGCAGTGAAACCAAGTAGTTGGTTTCAGCAAGAAAGGGGGAGGGAGAAAATAAAAACCCAAACCAAAAAACATCCAGCACCTGGCTGCAGCAAAATAATGAATTTTGCAGCAAACATGCGAGATTCTGTGGAATCTTGGAAAAATGCCAGACTCCACGACCACAGAAATGCTGAGTCCATGGGGCCCAGAGAGAGATGGCTGGGGCAGTTCACATCTCTCTGTCTTTGTTTCAAGCTCCTTGCAGTCTTACTGAGGCATCAGATTACACTCTCTTCACATTTTCAAGGTTATCTTCACTACCAGAAGGGCTAGAAAGTTCATTTTGTTTCAAGGCCAGCCAGGATCCGGCAGCACAACTCTCGAGCGGTTTCAGAGGCCACTGCCACGGTGGTGGCATGGCTGTGCCTGAGGGCATGGCTGGTGACCTCCAGATTTGAACAGCATCATCAATGACATGTTTGTCATGCTTACTCACATTACCTGTTTGTCACATTAGGGAACAAAGTCTGTGAGGAGGAAGGGTGAAAATATTTTACCTTTGGTTGAAAACCTACAGCACTGTCAATGTGAAAGCCATGCATGTGCTGCCTAGTTTTTCTCAAAGACTGGCACGGCACTGTTCTCCCCTCCGTGTTCCCCTCCTGTTCTGAAGAAAGGCGTGACACGCTTCCTTTTTGGAAAGCTCTGCAAGGCAATAACCAACAAGCACCACGCAATTGCAATCTGTAACTGAGCCTATAAAATGTAATCGCCTGCGCCCTTCCCACTCCCCTTCCCCTCTCTATCTGCAATTGGTGGAATATTGGAAACATAAGCCACAAAACCCACTTATTACGCTCAGTAAGTGTCAAAAAGAATGAACAGCCGGAACTAGGTGATGTATTTAAATTCCCCAAATTGAAGTGAGCTGCTGCTTGGCCATCTAAAACAACTGCTCAATCAGTAACATTCTACCTATTGATAGAATTTTTTCTTTCAAAACATTTTAATGAAAATACTCCTGAAAATTGTAAGCTGTTTGTGGACGGTTTGAAAACATTATTCACTACAAGCTTTTCATTCATCTGGGTTTGCAGTAACACCGTGGAGAAATTCTTGTCACTTCAAATGTACTTTCCTACCTGGTGGCAGAAATCCTAGAGCGCCATAGGCAACAGTGCTTGTAGCACTG